GGTAAGTTTTAAAGTGTTCATATGAAAGCAAATGGGGGTCTAGACGCCAGGTGCGTTGGGGTGCTATATTACCAGGAAACATCATATCCATTTGTACTGGACCATGGTCTGATAACACAATGCTGTGGTACTGGCTCCTGGGGATTAAGGGAAGTAATTGGTCATCTACAATGAAATAATCAATCCTGGAATAGCTATGGTGGACAGGGGAGAAAAACGAAAATTGTTTAGTATTAGGATGTTTTGCCCGCCACGGGTCAGATAGGCCACAGGAGCGCAGGAAGGAGTTTATAGCTATCGCAGATGTTGACAGGGTACTATTAGGTCTAGGGTTGGATCTGTCAAGGTGGGCATGGAGAACGCAGTTAAAATCACCACCCAATACCAATTTATAGGTATTGAGGTCAGGGAGAGCTGAAAATAAGTTTATGAAAAACTGAGTCATCCCAATTTGGTCCATAGATGTTAGCCAATATTAAAGGAGTATTAAACAACCTGCCAACTGCAACAATATATCTACCGTTGGGATCAGATATTATTTCAGAGAGTTCAAAAGGTATCCCCTTTCTAATTAAAATTGCTGTGCCCCTGGTTTTGTAATCAAAACGTGAATGATACACTTGTCCAATCCAACTGCATCTTAGTCTCTTTTGGGAGTTAATATTCAGATGTGTTTCCTGCAGAAACATCACATCCGGCTTCAATGATTTTAAATGGGCAAATATTTTACTCTGTTTCACCATGTTATTTAGGCCTTTGACATTCCAGCTGATGAAAGAGAATGCACCTTGTTGTTTGTCTACAGCATCAGGAGCCATAACTCTGCCACTGGATACATGGTCTGGACATGAAAGCTGGCAAAATCTGAACACATATGTGCAATCTTGGGTTAAGGCATGAAACAATAAAAAAACAAAAAAATACCATAAAACAGACAAAAGCTAAAAAAGTAACAAATAAACTCTTACCATCCTGGATCCCTGGGCTGGTCTTCTTAAAACCTGAGACTGCCCTACAAACACTCATCCTACTCTTAGGCATATAACACGTCAAGACTAGCCTAAACTCTCAACTGAACTGTGCAAGGGCAGAACAATATGAATTTAGATGAAACATGGCCCCTCTCATAGCACCGACATTGCTGCACTTATGTGGTCATAACTTAAAACAGCCTTAAATACCTACAGTTGGGAGATACAAACAGCTATAACTTAAGAAAATCTGCATTGTTGTCATTTCCCTGACTCATCATTGTCCATAGTCCACACATAAAGCGCAACCAACTGTAGTGTAATTAACAGTCAAACATTTAGTCACTGTGACACAGGCTGTGACATTATCCTGCAGCTCCAACAGTACCTGTCATGGCCCCAATATTGATTATCACTCTCCCTCCGGGTCCTGCGGGTGCAAATCCGTCTCAATGTAGTGCCTTGCCTTGGTTGGGTCTTCAAATGACTTTTGCTCACCAGCTGAGGTTGTGATTTGAAGTGTGGCTGGATACACAAGACCATACTTCACACCAGGGCATCTGCGCAGCAGCCCCCGGACCTCAGTAAAGGCCGCCCTCCTTTTCCTCACCGAGAGCGTGTAGTCCGGGTAGATGTAGAAACGCTTGCCGTTGTGGAAGATGGGCCCCGCTCCCATGGCTTTCCGTATAATATCTGCTTTCTCCTGAAAGTAGTGGAATTTAATGATGATCGGCCTCGGGGCATCCCCATCAGCTGGTTTCGGCTGTAAGCCCCTATGTGCACGGTCAAGCATCGGTGTGCAGTCCAGGCTCAGAGCATCCTGCAGTAGTTGAGCTATGGCTTTCTCTGGTCGAATATTTCCAGCCCTTCCGCCACACCGATTAGTCGACAATTATCTCTCCGTTGTCGAGACTCTAGATCTTCGGTTTTGTCCACCAACCTGTTTACTTGTGAGGACAGCGTAGTAACTTTAGCCTCGAGTTCCACTACCCGGTTAGCATAGCAATTAGCCCCCTCCTCAAGGTCTTCAATGCGCGTTACGAAAGTTGCGTTCTCCTTCTTAACATCTTCAACAACCTTAGCAAACTCTGTGCGCACATTGCAGATTTCTGATCTTAAGTCCCTCGACAAGTTGTCTATTTTGGTGTGCAATTCACCTACAGCCGCCGTCACCGTTGAGTCGATCTTAGTTAGCACACACTGCTCAGTCTGCTTTAGGGCGACCATGATTGTCTGTGTATCCGATAGCGGCTCCGCCGACCCGGCCGTGACTTTCTCAGGCGAGTCCGTGGCGTTTGGGCCTGGCTTCAATCTTTGGTTCTTCGGCATTTTTTGAGAGTTTTATGTACAACCAAATGAAAACACGGTCACTTTTAGATAGCTGAACACTTTAGAGACACATTTGCCCCACGGGAGCGAGAAAAGAGGCGAAAATAACTTTTTAAATGTTCTTTCCAAGCAGAGCTCAGAAAACTGCGTCCTCACATGTCGCTGCTCCTACATCACCCCCACGTTAATAACATTTTAATGAAGTTGAATACAGTATATTCATATTTGTCAGTGATTTCATGTCAATTCGGCGAACATAAACATGAATGATCGTGGTGAAGATGATGATTAAATTAGGATTAAAAATCGAGAGCCGGCTGCATTTCCTCTCGTTCGTTTTTTTCGACTAAACAACATTATTTTGTTAAATAACAACATGGTGATGTTTTGTAAATGA